GAAAAAAATCGGTTCACATTTTGGGATGATATTTTCAATAGGCGGAAATTCCTGACAAATATACAAAACATTTTTTTCGAAAAAATAACTGATGGTCTACTTTTTAATCACTATCACTTTTGAAAATGTTTATACGACATTTCAAAAAATACGACCACACGGACTTCAACGTATTGAATTTAAAAAATCACTACAAAGGCTGAAGTTTTTTGGGCCGTCGGGACACGCTTTGTTGGACCGCAATACAGAAATTTGTTAAAAAAGGTCGGGCTGTGATGTTAAGAAGTAAGAATATTTCTGCTGTGGACTAAAGTATTTCAGAAATCCCTGGATTGTCCATTCCAATCCCTTCTTTAGAATTGGACATTCCATAAAAGCCAAATACACCGTATTTGTCTTAAGTTCAAGAACTCATGCAGGCCGATCACCGTATTTGTCTTAAGTTCAAGAACTCATGCAGGCCGATCATCAAAGTCGCCATCTCTTTGCTGAATTGGGCACTTAAAATTCACGTAAAATAATCCCGAATTAAATCGAAAAATAAGTTAGACGAATTTACGGAATGTTGTCGCATCTGGGTCTCAAAAAAAACAGGAGAGAAGCCCCTTCATCCTCAACCTGTTACCGTTTGCTTCGATTTATTGTCCAGCGAAGTATGTAGAGGTTACTTTGTCGTTATAAAGTGCAACTTACTCCTTTGGGTCCTGTAAACAGAAGATCCATTAGATAGATCTATAGGCATACGATTGTCTTTTAATGTTTCTTAAATTAGATAAAGTTTTTCTACAGATTTTCCTAAGAATTATAAATTATTCTCAATGTTTTCTATAAACGGAGGATTTTTCAAAAGGCTTCTATCCAGATTCAACGAAAGTTTCTTCCAGATATCCGCCAGAAATTTTTCCATATTGAAAAAACCTCAAAAATTGAGGACACATATTTCCATGAAGGCAGATCAATTTTTGTTCTCAATAAACCTGATAAAGGGTCTCCATGTAGACGAACTGAATGTAGACAATATGAAGAACGGGTTTAATTGACGTGTTGTGGGCAGTTTTCATAGACGAGTTTTTCTATTCTTTCCTAAAAAAAATAAAGAGTGTATAAAAATAGATTTTTTTTCTAAAAAAAATTAAATATAGTGTACAAAAATTGAAGTCCTTCTCATGTATCTGATACTGGCCAAGAATTTGTTCCGTTTCGAAAAAAAACCCTCAAACTGAGTCTAATAACAGGTGTCCAAGCAGACGTCTTTAAAGAACAGCTGATGTGACCAAAGCGCAGTCTTTGTAGACGACCGTAGAGCATTATTTATCGACTACCTAAAATTGGCGATCTCTATAGATAATCTGAAAACATTCTCAATCCACAATATCATGTACAGTATAAATATTAGCAACCTTTACAGAGCTATATTTATAGGATCTTTAGACCTAAAGAGTTCTTTAGTAAAAACGACAATGTTAGTAGAGGAGTCATCTACATATCGAAACTTTTCTGTAGATTTTATACAGATTGATAAGAATTTTACCCAACATTTTTCTTAATTTTTATTTATTTCATCCATAAATAGAGACCTTCTTGAGTTTACAATTAATAGAAAAATTTAAAGCAAATTAATTTTTGTTCTCAATAAATTTTTACAGGTTTTAAGAATTTAGGTAGTCAACTTTAGATAGTGGACAAAATTAGAATCCACGGATTTTTTTAATAAGATAATGTCTATGGTTCTCCTAGTCATTTGAAGATCCTGCCACCCCATGTTCGTCTACAATATTGTAATAATTATTTTCATTTTCACTGTCTGTATTTTCATTTGATACACTAAATGCATTTGTCTAATACTGTCTAATAAACGACAGAGATATTTTGTTAAATTAAAATTTCCATAAATAAACTCTCACACTCACCGAAGGCGACCAGCTGACATAATTTGTTTAAATTTATACAAATTAACAAATTGTGGCGATGAGCATGAATGAAAAAAACACCTCTAGCGCAGAGAGCTCACCCAAATAAATCAATGAGAGAATAAGAGAGCTATACAAGTGCGGTTGGTGTATCTTGAGAGAAAGAGAAAGTAAACAAGTGTTAACTTTTGATAAGTTTATGAAAAAACAACAAACTGATTTTTTGTACATAAATAAAATTAACAATAACAAATTGAATATAAATATTACTATATACATATCTACAAGCAAAAGGTATAATAAATGTTCTTTATAACGTAGTGGCAACGATGATGCAATTTTTTGACTACCAAAAAAAGAAAACAAATAAAAATAAATAAACAAAAACAACAATATTGAAATTGGGAAGAAAATGTAATAAATTACCAAATAAAATGAAAGAAAATTAAAAGTTGACTACAAAAAATAAATTTGAAATTTTGAAACAAAAAAGTAATCGAATACCGTGTTAACAATTTTATTGAGAACAAAAATTAATTTGCTTATCTGGTACTGGTATACAGTTTTGGTAATACAGTTTTTACCTCTTCTATGAAGCCCATTAAACATACACTCCGCGACACATGAATAGGACACCAATGTAATTCATATTAAATTACAAGTTATAAACATATATAGCGAAAAAAATTTTAAGTTTTTGCATTTTTTCAACCACAGGTAGTTCTTAACGAGAAAAATATTTTTCGATATGATATGGATAATGGTTTTTTAAAATAATGCCAATGAATGTAAAACTACTGCAAATTTGGCTTTATAATTGCGTCAGTAGAATAGGACACCCTTTAAAAAAACTCATAAAATGTATAGTTTGAAAATAGTTTTTATTTTGGTTTATTTTTAACGTTAAATTATTGAGATTTGAACACATTTTTGCAATATTAATAATGAGTAGGTCCTCCTTTGTTAAGAACTACTTCGTACATTCTGTCTGGAATGGAATCGTACAACGATTTAATGTAGTCGAGGGAAATTGTGGACCAAGCCTCTTTTATTGCATAGATAAGGTCATCTCTGTTGTTGTACTGCTTACCAGAAGCGTAAACTTTTCTAACTAGCCAGCCCCACACATTTTCAATTACATTAAGGTCTGGGGAGTAAGGTGGCCAGTTAAGAAGCTTGACATTTTGGCTTCGAATCCAAGACTTTACGACTCCAGCTGTATGAATCGGTGCATTGTCGTGGTGGAATATCCATTCTAGGTCTCCAAAAAAATTTTTGAATTGAGGAAATGCTTCCTGAAGAACATTTTTGTAGCAATTTGCATTCATTGTGGTGGTTAGGAATTGCAAATCGATAGTGCCATAGTATGATATGGCCCCCCATACCATTACACCGCCCACTCTGCTATGCAAGCGATCCAAATAATGATTTTCTTTTCGAATATCGTGGAAATAATAATTAAAACCATCTGGCCCCTCGAAATTAATTTTTTTTCATCAGAGAAGACGACACGGTGCCAATTTGTTTTACCCGTCCAATGCGAACGACAAAATTCGAGGCGTGCCTTTTTACGCGTGTCGTTAAGCGGTGGTTCCTTCTTAAGTTTTAATCTCTTTAAGTGGTCAGCTTTAGAAATAACACGCTGAACAGTTCTTACGCTCGCTACTACACCTGTTTTAGCTAAAATTTGTGCTGCGGAGTCGTGAGAGTTTGAAGCTTTTCTAAGTATAGCACGTTTATCTGTACACTTTTTGTTCGACCTTTCATATTTTTTCCGTAACTTGATTCATTTTTTAAAAAATTGGATACTACATTCCGGCTTCTGCCAATTTTTTTTGCGATTTGATTAATAGATAAATCAGATTCTTTGTAAATTTTAATTTTAAGTTTTTCTTCAACAGTCAATGATTTTCCTCGTCTCATTTTTCACGAATTGTAATTTAAATTACTTTAATTACGGTGAAAATTAAAATTATTGACCTTCACATTTTAACTTGTACGAAAAAACTGGAATTTAAAGCAGTGTCTTATTCAAGTGTCGCGAAAAAATACTGTACTTTTACCACAGTACCAAAACAAAATAGAAAAAATCTCATAACGGTACATTTTCAGCACATTAAATTACACTCAAATAATGAGCGATAATCAATAAGAAAAAACAATAACAAATAACATACAATTGTACCTTTCTTTTGTAAAAACCAGCAGTCTCTTAAATAATATTTGCGTTGTCCTATTCATGTGTCGGGGAGTTATTTATCGAGAACGAAAATTAATTTTGCACGATATCAGGACCATATCCTTTTCATGAAATAATCGCAAAATGGCGGCTCTGTAAAAACCGTCATTAACCTCTTCTATGAACACTCATTATAAAATTTATTGAGAACAAAAATTAATTAGTTTAAATTGGTATTAAGAAAATATTTTACAAAAAGAGCTGGTATATATTTTTTGGATAAAAAAATCGGTTCTTAATTTATTATGAAAAAATTGACTAAGAGACCAAGATTATTCACAAAAAATAAAATAAAGTAATTTAAAAAGACCCTACAGCACTGAACAAAAGGCAGAAATAAATAAAATTTTTAGTGGAAAATATTACAAATTAAAATAAATAAATAAATGTAATTAAACCAACAACAATAACACCAACAATATTATTCAAACAAGAACATTTAAATTAATATTGAACAATAATATTGTATATTAAATAAAAATAGCACCAAATATTTCAAAAACAAAATTAAATAAACCCCAATTAAAATCAAAATTTATACAATGCAAAATAAATAATAAATTTCGATTTAAAATAAAATAAAAATTTTAAATAAAAATCTAAAAAAATATAAAATTCAAAACTATATAAATCTGAATTATATATTAATTGTCCAAAATAAATTGTTTCCCTTTCTTCTAGGAATCCATTTTATTTTTTTATTTTACTTATAATTTGTGAAAAGAAAATTCACCCAGAAGCCACAACATTGCCAAAAGAAGCACATCTTTACACTACACACCTAACGAAATTTTAGAATTTTAAGTAACAATTGGTGCATTTTTCCCCCACGTCTTCTTAAAAAGCCGTTAAAATGCCAGTTTTCCATACGAAAACTATAGAAAGCATTTTGGATCCAGTTGCCCAGCAGGTAAGTTATAAAATATAATTTTAAAATGATTTATTAAAAAAAAAATTAAAATAAGTTTATTTATTATTTAAAAATAATTTTAAAATGTGTGCTATATATGAGAGAAAATTTAGTTAAACAGGGATCTATTTTTGCAATATTTACAAAAAAAATAAGTTCTTATCGGACTTTTGTCGTTCTGGAACGAAGTAGTTTAGGAAGGTACTATTCCACAAAAGGAACGATAGGTATTATGTGCGATCGCCTCGTCCATCTACCTCTCATTGCTCGAATCGTTCTCGCTCATGTAGTTACTTTTTGGCAAGCACAACTTGCTTTCAGAGCTATATCCTTTTCGTGAAATTTTGTACAACCAAATAGCTTTATCTCTTCTATATGAAGATCGATTATCAAATTTATTGAGAACAAAAATTAATTAGCTTACTGATGAGGACATACTTTACAAATATATCTGAAGTATGTTTTGTTTTGGACTTTGGACTTTTGTCATTCTGGAACAAACTAGTTTAAAAAAAAACTATACCACACAAGGAATGATAGCAATTATCTGCGGTCCTCTCGTCCATCTACCTCGCGTTGCTCGTATCGTTCTCGCTCTTGTAGTATCTTTTTGGCAACCACAACTTGATTTCACAACCATTACCTTTTCGTGAATTTTTGCATAAGCAAATCGTAAAATGACAATCTTTACCTCTTCTATATAAAGATCGATTATCAAATTTATTGAGAACAAAAATTAATTTGTCTTTACCTCTTCTATATGAAGATCTTGACAATCGATTTATTGAGAACAAAAATTAATTTGCTTACTGAAGAAATACTGAAGTTTCAGTGTAACAATTTTTTCTATGTTTATGATAACTTTTAGATTTTGAATTATCCAGTAGTATAGGAGATCGCTTAGAACAATAGTATGTTCAGATCGTAGATGAGTAAGGATACAATAAGGTCTTTGAAATATTAATTTATGACTTCTCAACGATCAGCTAGTCATTAGATCTTAGAGCCTATTTTACGATAATCTACTCTTTGTCCTTAAAAAGTAAATTATTGTTTCAGTATATCCAGATACATAACTTTTCTCGACCAAAACTGTATATGAAATATATATGGGCCTGCATTTTATCTTTCTAATTGTCTGTTTTTTGTTTTTTAATTGACTCTAACTTATCCCGTTTCTCTTTCTAAATTATCTATTTTTATCTACGTTTAATGAATGTGTATTTGATATTCTTGTTTGCCACTGGTTTATAAATTATCATTGTCAAAAGAACAGACAAATATTTTGTATGATATACACAAGTTTGGCCATCGTACCCAATTATAGTCCAATCATAATTAATCACCGCAAATGGCGCCCAACGGAAACAACATACGATTATGTTAAAGAGAACTTTACGATTCCAAATGGCAGATCGCAATGAAAAATTGCCGAAGGTGTCAAATATAAATGAACATTTTAAAGGTTTCAAATAAATTTTGAATTTGTTTGAGAAAAGTAAAATTAAATAATAAAAAAAAAATTGGCAAACATATAACAAAATTTATAAAAGATCGGTAACGTGGATCTTTTTCGGAGTTCTGAGAATATGTTCTTTGAAGATCTTGGTAAGAATCATTAGGATTTAAGGTTTCATTCGCTGATTTTCGCAATATATTACTTGTGTTTAGGATCATTATCGTGGTAGAATCGAAAATCACGCCGTAGACAATGGACAATAGAGATGATCTTTTGCTTCAGTGTACCGATAAATATCGTTTTGTCCCTGTTTACATCTATTAAAATTAAATTTCCAACACCAGACTCTGTCATAAAAGCCAAATTAGAGTTGGGCTTGAATATGATCCATTATTAAATTTATTGAGAACAAAAATTAATTTGTTTATATGGTACTGAGAATCTACTTTATAGATGAAAATTTTGAGATCGGTCCTCTGCTTATGACAAATTTTATCATTTTTAGAAGATTTCATGGAGTGCCCCCAGATTACATTCATGTCTGGTGATTGTACCAGCGGATTCATGAAATGAGGATAGTTTCAAATGAGTCAGGTTTCGCCAATAGATGATTTGTGTCTCAGATCATTGTCTTGGTTCGCAAAAATCACGGTATGAGAGACCCTTTATACTCACAAATTACTCTCAAAGAGAACACGAGTGTGGTGGTTTCCCTGATGCTTCCGTAGGCTTTATAGATATCAGTTTTGAGATCGGTAATCTGTTTATGACGAATTTCCTGTAGTACCCCCTAGATATTATATTACATTCAAGTCCGGTAATTGTACCAGGGGATACATCAAATAAGGAAAAATCGAAATGAGTCAGATTTCCACAATAGATGACTTGTGTTCCGGATCATTGTTTTGGTAGAGCCGAAAAGCACGCCTTGGATCCTGGTCGGGGAATGATAAAGGCTTTTTTGTACTTTTTACCCACACTCGTGTGGACGTTTGCCTCACGCTTCCGTAGACTTAAGTTTTCTGCATTCTGTAGTAAATTTCCCTTCAGTATATCCAGATATGTAGTAAACTTTTGTTTCAGTATATCCAGATATAACATTTTGTCCCTTTTTGCTTCTATGAAAACAAAATTTCCAACACCAGACGCTGTCATACAAGCCAAATTAGAATTGGGCTTGAAGAATATCCATTATTAAATTTATTGAGAACAAAAATTAATTTGTTTATATATGGTACAGAGAACCTCTTTTAAAATCAGTGAGCTGAGCAGTATATTGTCGGACGGGGCCATTTGATACCCTACACAACTACCAAGAAAATCTAACTGTTGTGCTTGGAGCGCAATGGATCAATATTTCTCGTTCCTTGTTTAAAAAGGATATAGTTCCTTAATATAGTTCCGACTACTATGTACTTCCTTTGAATCTTTCTCTTTCATCATTCTTTTTGTTTTTTTTTCGCTCACATACTTCTTTATGCATAGATTACAGAATTCCACGCTTACTTGTTTATGTAGGTTTAATTTGTACCGCTCTTTTATATTTTTTTAATTTTCCTCGTTCTGTGCGGCATTTATTTTTACAGCAATTATTAATGGCCATAGACAAAACTCTAAAAATGAGCAGGTGTTAATGATATGGCAAGATCAATGCCACTTCTCTAACCCACGCTTTATTTTGTTATACTTCGCCTCTATTTTCCTCCTCCAAAATGCTGCATGACAAATGACGTTATGCTGCTGCCTCGTTTCTTAATTCATTCATATAAAATACCGGAATAATACGAAGCAGCATAAACAAATGCGGCAGTAACACCATCTATTATTACTACGCAAGTCAATAATGGCAATGGCATTCAGGTTCATTCAGGTTTTTTTTCTAAGTGAATTTTGGAAATAGGTGTAGGTGTTTTTCTGTTGATTTTAGTTTTTAACAGTATTACGATTTTGTTTCCACGAAATGTGTGATGTTTTGCACAAACGAAATATTTTTCTGTTGCCTATTTTAGATGCCAGAAAGTTGATCTGCCTTCATGTTTTTTGTTTTTTTTTTTTTTATTAAAATTTTTAATGAACCAGATGTGTCTTGAAATGAACAGGAAAAAATGAAATAAAAATTGTACCAATGAACAAATATCTCTATTTTTAGATGACTTAAGTAAATGGAACATTTTTTCTAGCGTTCCAATAGATTTTAGAATTTGTGTACAATTTTTTAGCAAATTATCCAAAATTTTGTAATTATTGATCGGATACAGAGAATTTATGACACAGAATTTATGATACATATAATTCATGACCTATATAATTTTTTCTCTCTTTCTCCTAAATACATCCAACCGATTAAATTTTGGAAAAACGGGCATATTACCGAGGACGTAGACTTTTGGAAAAATCTCATTTCCTCTACTACGGAGACCCATTATCAAATTTATTAAGAACAAAAATTAATTTGCTTACATGGTACTGGTAGTTGCCCTATAAATACTTCGTTGCCTCTTCTGCGAAGACCCATTTTCGAATTTATTGAGAACAAAAATTAATTCTGCACGCTATCCGGATTATATTATTTTCATTAATATTGTTCCCCACGAATATCGTCATTATCTCTTCTATGAAGACCCATTATCAAATTTGTTAAGAACAAAAATTAATTTATTTACATGGTACTGAGAAAATATATCTTCTATGAAGACCCATTATTTATTTTATTGAGAACAAAAATGAATTTTCTTACATCGTATTGACCCATATCCTTTTCATGAAATTTTGCATAATCGCAAAGCGACAGCCCTAAAAATACCGCCTCTACCTTTTCTATGAAGACCCTTTATGAAATTTATTGAGAACAAAAACTAATTTGCTTACATGGTACTGGTCCATGCCCTTTTAGTAATGCCCTATAAATACGTCGTTACCTCTTCTAGGAGACCCATTTATTTATTGAGAACAAAAATTAATTTGTTTACATGGTACTGTGGAACTATATCTTCTATTAAGACTCATAATTTTTCTCTCTTTCTCCTAAATACATCCAACCGATTAAATTTTGGAAAAACGGGCATATTACCGAGGACGTAGACTTCTGGAAAAAATCTAATTTCCTCTACTACGGAGACCCATTATCAAATTTATTGAGAACAAAAATTAATTTGCTTACATGGTACCCTGGCCCATATATATTTTTAATTTCTGCAGTAATCAAAGCACAATTTTTGCGGCCCTATAAATACGTCTTTACTTATCTTTACCCGGAGACCCATTATCAAATTTATTGAGAACATATCCTATTAATTTTTTCCTAATTAAGTCGCAATGTGGCTGCCCTTCTTTAACCTCTTCTATGAAGTAGACTCATTATTAAGTAAATTTGTCTACATGGTACTGAGAACCTACATATCTACGACGTTGTGAATTGTCCGCATATAAAAGTTTTTGCTTGATCTGGATGATGGTGTAGATCTAAATGCAAAATACGTCATGGTTAGGTTAGGTCGAAAAGAGGGAAGGAAGGACATACACATAAGCCAATTGTGGCCTG